CACACACACACACACACACACACACACACACACACACACACACACACAAAGACTACATATACCTGTATATATGCACGCACACACCTGGTGTTTTATCTGTGTCAGCATATGTTGAGTTCCTAACTCTCCTCACACTCTGAACTCTAGCATTTCTTTGTCTACTGTATCTACTTTCACAACAGATACTGGCCAGTTGGTAGGGTTATCTGAGGTTATTCCCCCAAAATCTAACTGACTCATGGTCCTACATGGGATGCAGTGATTTTGGTGACATCCATGTGATCCTGGCCAGAGTCAGACACTTCCCGCAGGCAAGGACGCCGAGACCTGGCTCTCCATCTCCATCACTCAGCTTGTCCCCCCGGAGCTACGTGGTCAGACTGCTCATAGGCCCTCCCTCTTCTCATATACTTGGATTTGCATAAAACAAAGATGCACCTCCTGTATGGTTTGGACCGCGAAGAAGAGAACACACCGAACGCTGCGCTTCTCTGGCAGGCTGTAAGAGTGCCGCATCGGCCTCGAGCGGCTGCAGCCACGGAGCAGAGATTTACGAGGCCGCTTGAGATAGACATCCTCATAGTTTTCCACTTTAATTTGTTTAACATCCGTTCCTTTGGCATTGTTTATATTCCCCAGCCCTCATCTGCGAGCAGAGGGCGCCTAATTCACAGTGATGACGTGTGGAGGGGGGGGGGGGATCACTTAAAACACTTCATCCGTACAAGATTTGTCCTTGTCTCTCCTGATGGCTTTTGTCCTACCTCCCTTTTGAAGTAAAGTAGAGCTGGAGAAAGGCCAGCTACTGATCGTACACCACACAGCCCACATAGACACAATCGAGTAAATAACCCTACACCCTACGTATATAATAACAAATAGAACATCCATACGTGAAGCCAGTACGAACATTGAAACGCAAAGCTTTTTTCATCCTTTTTGTGGTATGAGGAGGCACATTCTGAATTTCAAGCAATTCTATATGTTTACTTTAGATGCTTTTTTTAGTTCTTATGTCCCTGTGAATTGATCTCGGGAAGTCACACTACCTTGATTTCCAGCAGTAGCTCCTATGTTGTGTGCTGTGGGTCAGTTCCATTTTAATGACTGAATGTTGCGTCATACCAGTGCTTGTTTGTTTCAACCAGATTGAAATTAGGGGAGACATTGACATTAGCATGAAATTGTAGAGAATGTTAAGACCCGCAGTGGACCGTTAAAGGGAACATATTTTGGAAGATGTACTTTTTAATTGCTTGCATACAAATTGTTGAGTTTGTGGAGTGCCTGCATGCTCGTTTAGTGTGAATTGACACAGCCAAGTAAATATTTTGTGCGTGGCCTTCATCCTATTTTCCGAGCCATTCTAAATGTTGCCAAATTCTCATCACAGTTTGTCTTATTTACCTAATCCCGCTCCCACAGAGTTTCTCTGCCCACGGCCTGGAACCTTGGCTGCAATGTTAAAGCCACGTTCAGACTACGTTGTCTGAAGCACAAAAGTCAAAGCCAAAATGTGAGCAGCGCTGATATAATAGTTTTTGTGAAGCAGCAACAACTTGATTGGTGAGCAAAGTTGTCGATGTGGCAGAGCGGTATTTGAGTTTGTCCCCTGCACGTGCCACATAAACGGATCCACACACTCACTTGACAAGTGTAATTTGGCGTCTTGGTGATGAAGTGCTGACTTAAACGGCACCTCCAACGCCCCATTTTGAAGAATGGATGGGGAGATGGGGCACTATTTCAAAGTTTCATAAATATCTTCTAATCTTATTTTTGTTCTAGTCTTGTATTTACAACAGCAAACCCCCAGGTTAATTTCAGTGCAAGGCGCCAGGGTAGCAACGAATTTAACGTCACGTTGTTTACTGGGCCTTCCCCTGCACCTACCAGTTGCTATTGAGTGACACTGTCAGATGGCAGAACCCAGGGTGTTCTTCCATCCATCCGTTTTCTGAAGCACTTATCCTTTTGAACTCATTTTACATCCATCCGCTTGTCGTACAAGCTGCTAGCTAGCGCTAAGCTAAACTCCCTTCATTTGCTGCTCTGACGGCGTGAGGCAAGCGGTGAAGTAACAAAGACAAAGACAAACTATCTGGCTGGACTTTAGTGACTGCTCAACAGTTGAATTTAATTCTAATGATAGCCGGCTAAATATTCCATCCATGCGCAAATGGTTCCGTGTTTTGTTCTCGAATGTAGCGAGCTGTCACACGGCACATTCACTTCTCCCACATACATATGTCACACGTAGACGTGAGGTGTGTGTGTGTGTGTGTGTGTGTGTGTGTGTGTGTGTGTGTGCGTGTGCGTGTGCGTGTGTGTGTGTGTGCGTGATGTAACTCAACTCAAATCTAACACTCATTCGGCATTCATTCTTAACGGCTAATTTGCCACTCAATTCGAGTCACCACCTATTCGTGTATAGGCCTAGTGCTCCTCACCCTTGTTTATTCACTTGTTCACTTGTTATTGAGACATCATACGCTTTGCATTTCGCCGTTTTCATAGAACAGAATCCTGTGTAAGCAGCCACTGCCAGCGGCAGCCTATATTGATCCAGATTAGCCTTTCAACAAAGGTACTCCATGATTTCGCTTACTGTAGACCAAGAAGGAGCATATATGTCTGCGTGCGTTATCTGCCATGGCATTTCAGACAGATTATTATTACAAGCTTGCTTTCATACAACCAGTGTGACCAAAACGCGTTTGGACGCAATTTTTCCGAATAAAACACTTTTCTTTTTTTCATCTGACAACCACAAGTACCCTGTAAATGAGAATCATGAGGACAATCAGACAGCCTTTGCTTTGCACAAGCATGACTGGGTTCGCAGCGATGAACGTCTCCAGCACCAGCTGCAGCTGGGAGGCAGTCTCAGGACCCTCTAAACGTCACCACTAACAGCAGATACATTTGTCTGACATTTTGCCTGTTGCTTTTTGGAAGAAGATGAACTAAAGAGGTCCGAATAGTCGATAAAATCTAATTTTCATATTTGTTGACATAAATTGCAAAAATAAATAAATAAATAAATAAAGTACTCAAATGTATGTTTTGGTAGATATACATACACACCCAAAACTGCTTGGTACCCCCTCCTCATGCCGGTCACAAAAGCTCAGGAATGGCATCTCATTATTCAGCCACCATATGTCGCAAGTCAACCAACATGGTTGTGTTTGGACAGTCTGGCCGGTGCAGATTACCAAATCTTGATCCTGCAGGAGTTTCACGGGGTGTAGGTTAGGACTGCTGGTAGGCCATTCCATTCTTTCCACTCCCAAATTGTAGAGGTGGTTTCTGATCAAGGCCGCTTTGTGTGGGAATGTTGTCATCTTGGAGATTATTCAGTCGCAGACTATGGAGGAACAGGATTGCAGTTGGTCGATTCTTCAACCGCATCTCCATATCTCTCTCAATTGAAATTACCGGTACATCCAACTAAGCCTTGTTTTTTTCAGTGATGGAGACGTTATTACACCACAAGAGTACTCAATCGATGCAGGAATCAGCACAGCATTTTCCATGTCGTCTCCTCACTTTGACCCCGTGATCCAAGTGACAGGTGGAATCGAAACTGCTCACTGAACATAACTTTGCTCCACATGTTCAGGTTCCAATGCAAGTGTTGCAAACAACGGTGCAAACAGATTGTGAAAGGCGAATATCGCAAATCTCCTGGCAGCATCATGAGACTGAAGATTGGCGGTGTTCAATCCCAATTTTCTGGGCGAAAACCCATTGGGCATATTGTCCTGCAACACTTGACTGCAAATCTATAGAAGACAGCCTAAGTCCTGCCAGGGTGGGCAAGCATCTTCTTGGGATGCCTACTTCGTAGCCTCTCTCTGACATTCTCTGTCATGTGAAACTCTGCCTTCAGTTTGGAGATTGTAACAGGGCTGACTCCAAACTTTGCCACAATCTGGTTGAATGTCCCCTATTGCATGGGTCCTGTCCAAATGAGTCAATTGTGACATGCCAGCTTTTGGAGCAAACACCTTCTACCCACTGTAGCCATGTGCATGTTGATCGTACCAGTAGCTAAAACTAAAGTCACTAGCAACAGAAAAATAAGTTGTTTGGCAGTGGCAGAGGGATTGCAAAAAGAGTCATGGGCATAACTCACATTTGCAGCTGTACTGCTCCTCCCACAAATGCATATTCCATACAAATCTAAAACCAGTAAAAAGGGACACAAACAACCTTTCCAACCGTTTAAGATTTATTGCCAAGAAGCACTGTTGCAACAAAGAAATAATCTACCAAACAGAAATGTCCTTACTTTTGTGTGATGTATTTATACGGCAAATTTCGAGGCTTACTTCTCAGGGAGTGTTGCTTGTTGTTTTGAATTGTGCAATTTTTGTTTTGCATTCACACATTGAGAGTGCCCACTGAATGCGATTGAGACTTGATCGATTGGATTTGTGTATGCTCGACTCAGTGTGCACGGACAAACCAAAACAACAATGGCAATGGCACGCTCAATGCTGAACACATTTCTTACAAAAATGAGAAAGGACCGACCAGCATCACAATGTGCATTCATGTGGACACTTTCAATGCAAGCGAACCATCAACGTCTTTAGCATTCTGAGCAGGAGTGAGGAATTTCTGCATGAACTCAAAATCTTACAAAAAAAACCCCATAAATAATGTGCTTTACATTTTTTATCTGTTTAAAAAATCGTTGCTTATTTCCTTTCACATAGAGTGCATCCGTGTGCGTATTAAATCTTAAAATCTCCTGACTCAGAATTGAAAATATCACAAACAAGGAGGAACAGACACTGTTGTGCCTCAGGTGAAAAATACTCTAGCAACAGTTCATCACATGCAAGACTATATTACGATATTACTGAGCATGACCAGGATTATCAGAAAACTTCTGGTTGACTTTTTAAGGACTCTACACTCTGTTTGTATAGAAGAATAAGAATTAAAAAAAAAAAAAGGTGAATGAAACTTTTGTTGTTGTTTTTTACCTCAGGTAACCAAGGGCGAGGAGGAATGGGGCTTGAAATCACAGATGGAGGAATTTTCTGGATGACCTAGAGAGGCAGATAAGATTGGAGAAAAACACAGGAGAGGATAAATGACTATCAAGGTAAATACACACTGTGCCATTTGCTCTCATTCCTCTGTTTCCTCCAGCATGTGTCATTCTCTGCCACCTTGTCAAACACACACACAAATAAATGCCCCGCACAATCACAAACAAACAAATAGTTCCACTCTGAGCAAGATTCTCCCTCGCCTTGTCTGTCTGGTTGCATACAGTACATGGATCACAGTAAGTGTTTGATGCAGAGGGAAATGTAAAAATTTGCATGCAAATAGACTTTACAGGCACAGCCTCATGCATCAAAACATTGTAACCACCAGAGACGAAATACGGTATCTAAGCGTGCAGTGTGTCGCTGCACGGAGAAGACAAAATACGTTTTTTTTTTTTCACCTGCTCAGCTCATGAAATTACACAATTAACTGTTCAAAAAGGGACTGAATTCATCTCGAAGAGAAATGTACTGTGACGCTTGGCATTTCTGGACTTTGTCGTTGATACTTCATGAGAGACGCTTTCCTTTTCAAGTGGTAGAGCAGGTGTGTGTCGTTAGTGGCTCAATAAATGTTGTGTGGAAATGTTAGCTTAGATCGTGGCGACGCGCTCTGTGCTGGGATGCCAAACAGGCCCGGTGGGGAGGATAGTCTACATAAAAAGAAAAAAGAAAAAAATCAAATCGTTGATGCATAAATCGCTTTTACAGATCCTGTACAATGACATTAGCTATCTTAGTTTTGTTTTGAAAAATCCTCAATCGATATTTCAATTACAATCTGAATAACCGTTGTGGGGAAAAAATACGGGATTGTTACAAGTGTGTGATTTTTTTTTTTCTCTCCATATTTTTAAGTCTTCAACATTACATGCAAAGAGGTTGCCTGGGAATGATGTTGCATTTATTTAAAAGTCACTGTCTCTTGGTCTGGATCCATTTACAGATATATAAAATTACCACAGCAGGTCCCGAGCACCTCATTACCAACATAACCTGCAGCCAGTCTTTCAAGGACAATTCTCTAATGACTCCGCACGTATCCGCTTAATGTCTATTTGAAGCAACAGTCACTTCCCTCTTCTTAAAAAAAAAAAAAAAAAAAAAAAAAAAAAAAAAAAAGGCAGGGATTTATAGAAATACCAAAAGCATTCTCGGATTGAATAAGCACCTTAATGGCTCCCTGATGTCAGTTTAATTCTGAAGGAGTTTAGTGTTTCCACCGTATCTCACTCATATAGAATGACAGGAGACCGGATTTTCATTATCTTCTTCTCCTGCTGGAAATCTGTATCAGATGTGAAAGCCACTCGAGAAACTATGTAAAATATAAAATGGCATAAAACAAGTTTCTATCATGATAAAAACTGGTATTTGTGTGATGTGGAATTGGTCATTAACAAAAAAAAAAAAAATCAGACCATCTTAATTATTCAAGTGGTTATAAAAAGTCAACACACCCTTGTTCACGTGCCACATTTTTTTGATATCAAAAAAATGAGACCAAGATAAATAAATTCTAAAGTTTTTCCACCATTAAAGTAACCTATGAGCTGTACTTTATTGAAACAATCAATATTTTTGAGAGGTGAGGTCAATTTTTAAAAATGCGGTGGCACAAGTGCGCACACCAAATTATAACTAAAATGTGGCTGTATTGAGAATCAACCACTCACATTCAAACTCATGCTAAATGCGAGTCAGCACACACCTGCCACGATAGTTCCTCTGATTGAGACTATAAAAAAGTTCACATGCTCCAGTGGGCTTTTCCTGTCGTCACATCTTACAGCAAAAGCCATCGTCCGCAGAGGGCATTCACAGCATCAGAATGATCTCATTGTTCTGTGCATATCGTCGGGAGAAGGGTACAAATAATTTCTCAGGCATTAAATATAGCGGGGAACACAGTGAAGACAGTCATCATCATGTGCATAAAACGTGACACAAGTGACATTACCCAAAACTGGACAGCCCTCTGAAATTGATGAAAAGATGAGAAGAAAACCGGCCAGAGAGGCTGCCAAGACACCATCAGCAACATTGAAGGAGCTGCATGAATTTCTGGCATACACTGGCGGTTTAGGACACGTGACCGCATTCTCCCATTTTTATATGTCCGAGGGTGGCAGGATGAACGTCTTATAAAGAAAAACATCCAAGCGCAGCTACATTTTACAAAAACAAATGTGTAAAATGTGTAATGGTCCAATGAAACCAAAGTTGAACTTTTTGGTTATAATTCCAAAAATTTGGTTTGGTGCAAACACTGCTCCATCACCAAAACAATATCATACCAACATGCAAGTATGGTGGTGGTAGCATCAGCGGGACTTTTTTTTTTTTTCGGGGGTTGGTTGGCTGGATGGATTTATGAAGAGTTCAAAATAAAACTCAGTGTTGACACAAAACCTTCAGGCCTCTGTTATAAAGTAAAAACTGTCAGGAAAAAGCCAACGATAACATCTTCACCTTATTTGTGGTTAGTCAGAGGCATTCAAAATAGTTGCAGGTGCATGCTGACTCCCATTTAACATGAGTGTGAATGGGATTGGTGAGTTTGAAATACGGCCACATTCCTCGTTCTACCACAAGTGGGTGTGCAAACTTGTGCAACCACATTTTCTCAGTCACTCATTTTTACTCCCTCTCTTGAAAATACTGTAAATATTTCAATTGAGTTGCACAGTTTATAGGTCTCATTAATGGTGGGAAAAAGTTATTTTTTAATTGTTTATCTTTTTTTATATATCACAAATTGCTGGCATTTCAACAAGGGTGTGTAGACTTTTTTTTTTTTTTTTTTTTTTACTCAAGCAATAGGCCGGGGGTTTTAGTTTAAATAATTTGTGGAAGACCATGGCAAAACAGATTTATTATTTTTTTAAATAATAAATAAATAATCATTTAGAATCGACTGAGTTGTGTTGTACGTCGGATGTGCTCGTCCATCTCATTTGGTGGGTTCTGGGCAGAGGAAATGAGTGTGGGCTCCCCAGGGTAGAGAGATTACACTAATGACTTTGAAAGCAGCCTCGTGTGCTGTCCCTTTTGACCTCAACTCATCCTCGGCCCTAGAAGATGACAAGGTGATACTATACATGCACACGTACATGGGTAGACAAACGCTCATGTGTTCACGCCTGCTGTACACTCCTGATCGTGCACGTTGAGGAAAAAAAAAAAAAAACATGATTACACACAAGCAGCAAGATAATAGAGCCTTCCCCAGCTACTCCAGTTTCTTCCGAAGCTTTGAAAGACGTAATATTTTCGCTTTGCCCATGTTTTGACTACAAGCTACAATATCACGCTACAGATTCAACTCTGCATGGATGCTTTTTTTATAACAAGATCAGTTTTCAAGCACCTAAACGCCACATTGGCATAAGAAGTATTGGGCTTAATGTTTGTGAGTATGTTTTCAGTTCCAAAAAGTGTGCAAGTTTTTTGTTCATTTATCTCAAATCAATGTGTGCCAACGAGGAAACCATCAAAATGAGAATGCAAAAAGAGTTGAAAGGGGACATCCACAGCACTTGGCTATAAAATAAATGAAAGAAAGCCCAACTATTTGAAAGATTCCTTTCAGTTAGCAAATTCGCTCTCTGAATGGAAACAAAAGCAAACAAGTTTCCATCCATTCTAAAGCCTTTCAATACATCGTTGTTATAACTAAACATGAAAATAGCAGCACTGCGTCTCTGATCAAATAGATGTAATGAGATACAGTGAGGAAAAAGGAGAGCGGCTTGGCCGTGACTCGCCTAGCATGTGCACGCATGCAAAAAACCCGACAGCGGCACAGCTGCACGGAGCTACGCTCTCGATTTATCATCCCTACATCGCAGGAGCTAGTGGGCCACACGACTATTAATCATCAGCAAAACCATTTAATTCAGCACAAGCCCAACTATTGTCTCAGTCTCTCCCCTCTGTCGGCTGCGCAAAGCAGCATATACCTCGCTGGCATAAAAGCAGACATGCAAGTGTTGGTTGGCACAAACGTGTGAATGCGAGTGATGCATTTTTTATGCTCAAATGTGGACTAATGGTGCCTCATTTGCAGCTTTGTAGAGGCGTATGTCTTAGTTTTCATGAAAAAAAAAGTGCAGGACCCAAAGTGGCCACAAAGTTTGCACAATAATGTTAAATAATCAAGGGTTGGTTTATCCAACTAATTGTCCTGAAACAATAGAGAAAAACATTGTCATCAGACTTTCTTTGTTGCATAACTTGTTCCCGCATGTGAGAACAAGTCCCTGTTGAGAATTCATGTTGGGTGACTTTTATGGGACCCCTGCCAAAAAAAAAAAATAAAATCTTAAAGTAGGTGTCCAAAAATTGACCAAAATACAGGATAGGGTTTCTTCTGCCTGCTGTTATTGGCACCTTTTGTAGCGCCTCCTCACATGACATGTCCATCCCCTCCCTACAGCCAACAACCCCCCTCCCCCACACACTCGGACTCTGCCCCCGAGCCAACCTTCAGGCCCTCTGACAAACAGGATGAAGTGGAGTGGAATTGAAAGATCCCCAAATAACAAAATATGAAGCACACACATTGTCCCAAAAAAATCTGACAACGGATCAAGCAGCAAGCAACATGACATGAGAGGGAGTAAGCTAGATGCGCAAATGACATTTCTCGAAAATACAGTACTTGTACTTATATACATGCTTGCTTAGACACACACACACACACACACACACACACACACACACACACACACATAAAATAAAATAAAAAAAAGAATGTCGACGCCGATATGAAAAAAGAAAAATCAAATATATAAAGTATACTTAGATACAACTATACTTTTTCTGAGTTATATTTTGATTTATGGACCATTCCCATTGCTGTGAACCTAATTCCAAATTGACTTGCTCTTATAGAAAGAGTTTTCCAGAGTTAATATAGAAGAGGAAACGTCCAGATCAAACTGCCACCTGTATCATTAAACAACAATAAAAGCCACTGCATGAATTAATCATCGCGGTCTGTGGTTCTGCTGCATGTGTATTGAAATGCTTACATGCAGGATATCTCTGCTTCTAATAATTTCAACATGTACTGTGTTCCCATTGTTTTTTTTGGGAATAATTTGGGATAAATACCAGCTGGTAAAACCATATTCTTGGGTGAGCAGTGGGAAAAACAATACATGAAGAAAAGAACTGTCTTTGATTGTGCTGCATTCATGGTGGATTTTTTTTTCTTTGGGATCACAGTGAAAATTCGAGGACCAGTTTAAAAAAAAAGTGAGAAACGTATTGAAGGCAATTATACATTTATTGCATATCATTTAATTGTATGAAATGACAAAACGAGCACATATGAACATCACATATGGTTAGTTGAGTGAAATCATTTTGCACAGCAAAATATTTATATTTATATGTATGTATGATGTAAGATTAAATCACATATTTTCAAAAAGAGGTCCCTCTTATTTATTTATTTTTTTATTTCCATGTGCAGGGTATCAATCCCTGACCATTTAACAATGTCCAGACATTATCAATTCTAAGAATTATTGCTTTGCAAATATTGAGTTTGTTGAATTCAGCACATTTTCTTTCCTGAAGTGATACTGAAAGTATTGCATGTCACAAAATACCTAATCTGGGCCAAATAACTGTGGAAAAACGTTGTTCTTAACTCCCTACATCATGATGACAGGCCAGAGTGTTTTAGTGCACTGCACTCACAATACTTCAGCTTCTTCACAAAACTACTTTGAATGCATTACAAGCTCAAATACTGAACAACTTTGCTTTTTGAACGTTGTGGCCAAAGCATTTCTCGCTCATATGCTGCAAATGTACGATACAATTCTGCTCACGGCATCCGTTTAACCCGAGCCGATCACATTTAACCAAGTCCAAATGGTTTTTGCTTGTCAACTGTATATTAATCATTTGCACGCTTCAAACGGTGTCACTTTGTTTTTGTCTGTTCAACTTCAATTTATAAAACTTTGTACTTTATATTACACTTTTATCTTTTGTCAAATGCAGAGGAATATTTAAATAATAGTTTAAAAAAAAATGTTTTTCCTACACCCGTGAACCGTGAAGGATCTCCGCTGATCCACTTCCGTCATATACATTGCACCCTAAAGACGTTGGGTGGTGGTGCACTTCAACACAGCTGAAACGCCATCGCACTGTACACAGGTGGGAAGTCCTGTCACTTTTTGGTATAGCTGTCCCAAAAAAGTGAGGAGGCATAAATGAAAAATATGAATGCCATGCTGGAGTCATCTCCTAAAATAATACCAATTTGAAAAGAAAAAAAAAAGACATAGCACAGAGAAATAAAACAGTATTTAAAAAAAGAACATACATGTCCAGCATGCAGAATAGTTCAATAACTCTTTGAAAAAACAATGAATACATAAAGTCTCTGAAGAAGCAAATGCATGAAATGGCTGGCGATCCTCCAAGTTTGGCAAACAAAACAAAACACATGAATGCACTTTAACAAATATCTGCACACTGTTTTCAAACTTAAAATAAAAACATGTTAAAGGGCAAGGTAAGTGCATGCATGCAGTTGCTGAACTAAGCTGGATCCAAATCAGACACTGCAAATCTAATGAGGGTTGAGAACTAGTGACAAATGGGGTCATTTATAATAGAAAAGTAGACTTGATGAGAGTTCTGTGAACTCACACACATCGCTCCATGTATAAACCAACAATCTGTTTAAAGTGTGGAAGATGGGGCGGGGGGGGCAAAATAGTTCTTATTGGGCATTTGCGCCAAAGTGGAGAAAGGGGAAAAAAGTTCAAACAGAAAGTTTTAAAGCGGGGCTGAGTAACTCATCAATTCTTTCTTTTTTCACTCGGTTTTCTTTTTTCTTTTTTTGCGCGCGGATATGTGCAGACTCACATGAAAAACTCCGGAGATGAAGGGTTGTTGTCGCTGCTCGAGCCACTTTCTCTGAAGCCGTTGCCGATGAGCTTCTCATACTTTTCTTTGTACGCGTCCCTCTCCCGGACCAGCCTGGAGATCTCCTGCTTGAGGTGCTCCACTTGCTGCACCAGTTGCGTCTTCTCGCCCTCCAGGACGTGCCGCTGCTGGACGCGCTTGAAGCGACACGACTGTGCGTAGCCTCGGTTCTTGAGGGTCCTCCTCTTCTGCTTGAGCCGGATCACTTCTTCCTTGCTGACCCCCCGCAGCTGCCGGTTGAGCTCCCGCACGGACATGGTGACCAGCTGCTCGTCTGAGAAGCGGTCGTCCAGGCGCATGTGCGGGTGGTGATTTGTCCCGGAGACGCCGTTGGACTGGATGCCCGGCGCCTGGTGGTGGTGGTGGTGTCCGCCACCTCCGCCTCCGCCGCCCCCTCCTCCACCTCCCCCGGCCCCGCTGTGGTTGTGGTGGTGATGGTGGTGGTGGTGCTGAGCCCCGTTCTGAGCGGCGGCCGCAGCGATGACCGCCGACACTACCGCCGCGGCGGAGCCCATCTCCTCCCCGGCCATGGCGCCCCCCGGGCCGGCTGCGCCCGCGAACTGCTGGCCTCTGGCGTAGCCATCGAACGACTGGAGCTGGTGGCTGCTGTTGATGAGCGCCTCGACCGCGTCCTCGGGGCTGAACCCCAGCGCCTCTGGATTGAGCTGCTGTTGGTAACCGGACATCCAGTAGAAGTCCTCTATGTGTGTCTTCTGCTCGCTCCCCGAGCCCGGACTGGGCGCCGAGAAGCTCGGGGAGGGGGGCACAGAGCTGCAGGGCGTGCTCATCGGCGTGGAAGACAAGGATCCCCCGGCGATGAGGCGGCTGCACTGGCTGATGGTGCGATCGGGCTCGACCGGCTCCTTTTTCACTTCAAACTTCATCAGATCGAAGTCATTAACATATTCCATGGCCAGGGGACTGGTGGGCAGGTCGGAGTTGCTCATTGCCAGCTCTGATGCCATCCTCTTGCTGTTGACAGTCCTCCAAAGGGGGTGAGGAGCACCTGTCAAAGTGGGCTGTTGAGACACGCACTGAGCCAGCTTGATTTCTTTATTTATTTGGATGTGAGGAAATTAAAAAAAAGAAGAAGGAAAGTACAGCCGGGGCTCCGCACTACTTGCGCAGCGCCGAGTTGCTTCGGAAGAGAAGTTTGGGTGTATTTTTTTTTTTTATGTGTTCCCCTTCGATGTGACGCAGTGGAGCAGCAGCGGTGTTCCCAGCCTCTCTCCCGGCGTGCGTGAGTCTGAGCGCCGCTCTGCCTCTTTCTGCCATTTAACACTTCATGGCTCCTTTTAGGATTAGCGCGCCAATTTGAGGAAGCTCACGTATGTGTCCCGGGCAAATAGTTGCCTTCCGCTGCCGCTGCTGCTGGAGGAGGAGGAGGAGCAGGAGCAGGAGGGGAGACGAAGAAATGGGCTGGAAGGGTGGAGAAAAAAGGAAAACCCCACCCAGGGATTGATAGATTTCTGTTTTTTTTTGTCTTTATCTAGAGTAAAAAAGCGTTGCTCATTTTAGAAGAGGTGTGACGTCACAAAACCGAAATTGAGCGAAACTGCCAATGAGATGCAGGAGCTTATTAGCATAATAAAAGCTAAACGTTTGTCAAATGCACAGAAAGTAATGCTATTTAAGTCTATTGTTTATTCGCCATGTTATGACGTTGTGGAGGTTAAATGCACAAAGCATTTGTGCAATTTGCATTTTTTTCTTAATCACATTAATTGGCAACACTTCACAAGTTAAATATTCACCGCAAAATGTAAATATCAAATGAATAAAGCATTGCGCTGTTGCTCTCAAAAGGGCAGAAAAAAACATGTAAGGAATAAAAATATAACAGCAATAAAAAGACAGCTTGACAAACACAAAAGAGCCAGAGATGAACATGTGCGCCCTGGTCGAAGTGCGTGACAGCTTTAAGAAACCCAATGTCGCCCCCTCTTGATACAAATAAGTAATTCATGAAGGCACGTGAAGGGTTCAATGACTTTTGCCATGTGTCAGAGATTTGTCCAGCATATGATGAAGCAAGACGCCAGAAAAGATCATATTTGTGCTTTCACCTGATCAATATGTCAATTATTGTGGCTTGCAGTTCTGTAGACTTGGTGTAACACAGCCATACGACTTCTGTCTCGTTTGTGCCCCTGGTTATATTCTCACCCCTATGTCCTCAGTCGGCCATGAAGTGATCATTCTACACACGTGAACAAAGTTCTTGGCAACTCTCTGTGAATAAGAGAAAAATACCACAATGATCACTTCAAATATCTTAAAACTGATGAGACTGGAATTTGTTGAAATGCATACTGACAAGCCACAATTCTTCAGGGATAATATGCCAATATTTTTTTTCTTGACCAAAAAGGCACCAAGAATTTGCCAGTTTCATATTTGTAGGCGTGAAAGAACGCTGTACTCCCTGTGGCAGGCTTGGTTATGTTCTTGGTCTGCTTTGCTAAATCATGCATAGGGTGTCTTGAACCTGTGCTTGGGTGCAAATAAGTCTCAAGACGATTAAGGTATTCTCAAGTGAAAGGTGTAGGTCACGGGTCTTCCATCAGAACAAAGACATTAACACAGCCAATAAGTAACAAGAATGGATAAGAATAAAACCCTCGACTATTCCGGAGAGTCCTAAATTAAATACTGAACATATGTGAAAGAAGCCGAAACTTATAGTTCAGAGAAGAACTCAACACAACTCAGAAAGTTAAAGAGCTCGGTTATGTTCTTGGTCTGCTTTGCTAAATCATGCGTAGGGTGTCTTGAACCTGTGCTTCGGTGCAAATAAGTCTCAAGACGATTAAGGTACTCTGAAGTGAAAGGTGTCGGTCATGGGTCTTCCATCAGAACAAAGACATAAACACAGCCAATAAGTAACAAATAAAACCCTCGACTATTCCGGAGAGTCCTAAATTAAATACTGAACATATGTGAAAGAAGCCGAAACTTATAGTTCAGAGAAGAACTCAACACAACTCAGAAAGTTAAAGAGCTCACTGATTAATGTGCTAAAGTGCCCGCCAAGACATGCTGAAAGCCTCACTGAGAATTACAGAAATGCTTTGATTGAACCCCCCCCCCCCCCCCCACCCCCACACCTAAAGGGGAAATGAATTTTGTGGAATGAAATATTAAGTTAAGGGAATCATTTTTTTCAAGCCTTTTTCATGAGTTAAATATGATTCTGTTGCACCACAAAAATAAAACAATGCCTTATTTTGAGTTCCAGTAATTTTTATTTACTACTTTGGTGTTTGTTGTGGGTTTTTCTTTCATTCAAAGTCGGGTACTGTACCAACAATTTTGCCCAGATGTTGCAAAATAAGCTTTTTATACTGTCAAAAGTTATTTGTTGAAGTGAATCGCTTGGGAGGTAGAGCAACCTCTAACGGGCTTTATCTAATTAATATTGTCCACGTATTTCAGTGGAGCAAACAATTTAGTTGGCCAGCGTTAAATATACTGGCATGGTGCTTGAGATTGTGCAAGGCATTTTTTTTTTTTTTAAATACAAAAGTTCCTCCTCCATTCTGCTCATTCTCACGCAGTAACAGGACCAGGAAGGCATTACATTCATGTGGAATTTAGTGCCGTTTGCATGAGTTCCCTATTGTGTGCGCCATAATGGCAAAAATGTAATAAACGGCCGGCACAAGGTGCATTTAGTCAGAATGCTGCAGGAGAGGGGAACTGACTGACATACAATGCTTTCAAACTGCTATTTCTTTACGATGGAAGAGAAGCCTTATTCATCAACCTCTCACTATTGTGGCCATTTGTCTGTTAGCTTGTTTCGTTAGGTAGTTAGTGAGCTACATCCTCCTACTTCGATATTAGGAAATATTTTCACCCCGTCCACTTACATGATATGAAAACATTTCTCAGGCGCTTTATTTTTCCGTGCAGAGGGTGTGTTTCTCCATGTAAAAATCAGTCATTATCAAGAGGTTGGTCTTAATTTCAAAATACAATTTGGTGTGAATCCAAATGAGTATCATTTGGCCTTAATTGGCCAAGTTCTGCACTCTATTAAATGCTAATCGAGTTTACTCTTGTCTCGTATATTGGGCTGAATCTTCTGCATCCCTGCAAACCAATAACTGTTTAAAAAGACACAAGTTTATTTATTAGCCCCTTAAATTGTATTTATTTCCTTCCCATGTCTGTGACATAATAGTACATGTTCTATTACTATCTACGTTATCCCATTTCATTGTTTTTCATCAAATGTCCATTTATTCCTAATTTTATGGTCAATCTTCTGCATACCTCATACATAACTAAAATAACCGTCATTTTGTATGGACCAAAAATGAATGTTGCAATGACAACATCCACAATGCCAGAAAGGTATATAAGTAAATTGTATACCACACAATGCACAATATACAAAAAGTTCATGATTAATAGTAGTTCAGTTTTAACATATCGTTTATTCTGCATGCTGCACAATCTTACCAACAGACGCTCTCCATCATCTCACCAATGTCATAATGATCATAGAAGAAAAAAATGGAAATATGGCCTTCTAATCAACTCCTTTTTTTTTTTTTAATCTCGTAAAAGTCTGATCTAACAGATCCCATTTTTGCCCTCATGATTTTATCTCTAAGAGTCTTGGACTCTTTCATATGTAAAGTTTGGCACGTTGCTTTTGAGTAGCAGGTCAGCGCCGAAGTTAATCAACAATGGGTGAAGATGTAACTGGTGTTTTTGTGTTGGCTCGTCAATACGGCGCCCCGAGTTTTGGATTAGAACACAATCTCCGATAGAAGCCCATTGTTTCTATTTCCACTCGGTCGCCCTGTCATCTGTTTGGGCTTACCTGCGCAGCAGTGGCCCCGCTCCCTGGGGTACGACCACAGCGGAGCGAGACTAATACACAAACGAAGGGAGAGCTCATTAGTCATGACAGTAGAAAGTGGCGGGCCTAAATTAGCTGCTTTTGTGTGGCTGAAGTTATTGATGATGATGCCGGGCGAGAGAGATGTGCATGGAAAGGAGAGGGATGGTATCAAAGCACCAAATTCATAAAATGTGAAAGAAAAAGAAATGTAACATCGTTGTAGTCTGTACCGTATCAGAAATGTCTCATATTTTTGCCATCTGTGAAATTCAAGTACCTCTGAAACTATAGCAACCACATTAAATAGGAGAATATTATTGAATCACTTCACATTTTCCCCTCCCTCCATTAATGTATTCTGTCGTTGTTTCCATAACCATTTATCACGCACTCCAGAAGGGAAACATGCTAAATACTAAAACATCTGCAAAGTAAAATAAATAAATAAATACATACATACATAAAACTAAAACCAAAAAGAATGTCAAAACATGACTTTGTTTTTTTTTTTTTAAATGGAAAAAAAAATTGAAAAGATGTAAATGTTGTTGCTTCAGAATTTGAAATAGAAGCATTCTGCTTTGTTTTCATTATAACAGTAGTCATGGCATATGATGAAAATGACATCATCTCAATTTTAGCGGGATGGGCACAAAAGTGCAGATGAAGTGAATCATTCAGAATTTATCTTGTGTAGATTTGAAGTCAATGGAGAGCACTTGATGGAGGACGGTAGTGATTCAATCCTAACTATTTAGGAAGTCCAACATGATGTCAATTATGGACAGGCGAGCTATACACCCCGTTCGCAGACTTCTGCTATCTCTTCCAAGTCACATTAGTGTATTCATCCCTGGCTGCAGCAATGCAAATTATGAAACAGTGTTTTTTTTAAATTTTTTTTTTAATATCCCTTCTGTGTGAATAATGTTTGCAGCGAATACAAAACTCATGGAATCACTATGACTGTGAAGACTGTCACTGAAATGCGAGTTTGAGGCCCCCCACTCCTCCACAGTATTCGATGATAGACGTGAGTGAGTGAAGAGAGCAGAGGTCACCGAGTTGTTTGTTGTACGGCTGGTAGTCAGTCTCGATGCATGCAATGCGTGTGTGTCTCCGAACAGCTATCTAATCAGCTCCTTTGCATTCCATCACTTTTGCATTCAAGCCTTAACACGAGCACATTACAATATCAGTTCTGAAGACAACCTGCGAGCTGATAATACCACTGCAAATATAAGATTAAACGTCACCCAACTTTTGAAGAGAACACAACTCCCGTTGTGTAGTTGTGCATATCCCAAGAAAGACACGACTTGTATTTGCGCCTGCAAAGCATTGCTCCCTGCCTGGACGATTTCATCAGCAGTCGAGTGAGAACAACAAAGCTGCAATATTAATTTTCACCCTAGCAACAGAATGTGGGCACAGCCATGTCATAATGACCCTGATCCATTAGTATGAGGCAGGGTGAGGTTGTGGAGGGTGCAACAAAGGATAGAGCGGAAAAGGCCACAAGGAAAACAGATTCTGGACTCTGAAGTGGATTTTTGGATGGCCTATTTTGGTCGGCGTCTGGCCTCTGTGTGACAGAAGGATTTTTGTTCCAAGATCCTCATGTTAAGGGAGCAGACCTGCAGAAACAAATTACACCAAGCAAATGTGCACTAAGTTGCAAATTTATTTGCTTGCTAACAAACGTGGGCTGC